GACTCAAATTTTTCAATTGTTGGTCATGGTCTTCTACCAACTCAACATATTTTTTTTTTTTTTATCTTGGGCTTTTCCCGACTCAAACTTTTTAATCGTTGGCCTTGGTCTTGTACCGACTCAACTCTCTGTATTCCCTTTATTTTGGTCTTGGGCCTACCCGTAAAAAAAGAACCATAGAGGCACAATGAAATGTATTGTAACCATACAATAGAATTTACTGTATTTACAGTAAATCATATTGTCTACAACGATAAAATAACCATATGATGTATTGTTTTCACAATATAATCTATGGTAAATAGGAAAATCTACAATATAACAAGGAGGTTGTTATGTATCTTAACCATAAGAAAAATCACTTTTTCCCGAACAAAGATGAGCCATTTACCATTAATTGTATTGTTGTTCTATTGCTGAAAATTCTTACTATATGGGACGTATTGTAAATCTATTGTAATAACAATATGTTACAATTTCTTGTACAATATACGTACAATAAGATAGATTGTTGGTTATAGATTTTGTTGTGATTGTATTTTATTTTATGGTAATTGTATTGTTATTTTTTTCCGGGACCCCGCCTCAAACTTGTTTACCTCATTGTCGCCATTTTACGTAGCAACATTGCAATTTCAACTTCCTTACCTTGATTGCTTTCCTGTTTCTGATCTGATCACAACAAATAAAGACATTTTACACAAACACGACATCAGTTCATTATGGCAAGGATCGCCAATGTGATATCCGGTATTTTGCTTATTACACAATTGATTATTAGAAACTTTCGCTCTATTAATTTAAAACTTTTTTATTAACAGAAACAAACCAAGACATTGTGTTAAAAAATAACAAAATATTTTGTTGATTCACTACAGAGCGTTTTTTCTGCGTGTTATCGGTAGAAATTCTCAAAATTCATAAAAATAATTCGACAGCTGCATAAGGGCGTAAACGCGATGATCGATTCTCTTCATTGATTTTCTCTTTTGTTAATAACTCGCTAGATTTAACGTTTTTCGGTGCGTTTGCTGGTGCTTCTGATTGCCAATACAACCTGTTACAAGTCTACATTGAACAAATTCTAGAAAATTGTTTCGCTTGCTGTAGCAATGCAAGGAGAAAATCGATTAAGAGAATCGATCATCGCATATACGCCTTTATGCATGCTCACTGATGTCGAATTAGTTGATCATCGATGACCACAAAAACTTGCCCAGAAAACGCCTAAATGTATGTATGTCCTCGATGATCAACTAAAAAACTCTCAATTTTGAGTTGACTTCATCGGCCATGTATGCGTCTTATGTTAATCCAAGACACAAACCTATTGCTCTGAACACGGCCAATTAAACCAACTCAAATTTTAATTTCGTCTTCTCAAATTCGCAAAAACGGAGGTTACTCATAAGCGAGCCCCACACGTGCACGGTCAAGTATAACAACTCAGCGACTGAATTCAATTGAACCAGAGCATTTTCTTTCCATATGACATTTACTCTTATTTGAAAAAAAAAAACAACATGCAGTTACTCATAGCTAATGTTCGTTTTGTAACCGTTGGGGAAATTAAATCGTTGGGATAGAATGAGCACTCTGTCGGGGTGGTATGAGCGACCTTGTAAACAACGGGTAATAATATTCTGCTCCCTTGAGGTTTTATGGAGGGTCAACAATGAACAGTTTTAGCATAAACAGATTTTAAATCCTATGCAATTATTTTCTGTAGAATTTAAGAAGTACTGTCAATTAGGGCTATATTTTTTCAATCTTGTGAATGACTGATTTTTTTACTAAGCAGCTGCTTCCAAACGTGATTTCATATGATACAGTCATATTTATGAAAGGAATAATGCAAAATTTAAGAATTTAAGTTGAAATATCAGTGGTGCTCATATTGCTCCGAATGGACTTAAGAAATATTTTGCTAAGAAATTTTTTAATGTTTATTATAAACTAGTAAAACATCGTTTCATATAAGAAACCAATATGACCATTTATAAAGCTGCTAAAGGAATATCGGCGATAAGTTATAAGAAACTACTGATAAATCTTATTTTCTGATTTAGAAATCTTATAAAAGTTTTGACATTTTGAGATAGTCTAACATTTTTCGTATATTTGCTCTATAGAAAAGTATTTTGTTCGACTGAAATGAAATGGATAGTTGAAGTAGGCTACAAGCATCAAGCCTGCAACAGATTTTTTGTAAAATATGTTCGATAAGTTGATTTTAAAGCGGGTGGTCACATTGCCCCATTGGCCATATTGTCCCACTTTCCCCGACAATCATGTTTATAGAAATAATCCATATACCATATAAACTTAGCCAGAGCGAACCCGCTGGCAATCTTGCTAGTTGAGTCCGTGACATCTGTTCGGGAAGTTCTTTCAAATGAAACCACCCACCAATTATCGTAGCACAAAACCAACGAATCTATTTTCGCTTACCTTTCATTAACTTCAGCCCACGCTTGGCTCTCATCTGGTTGACATTTTTCGTTTCGCGCATTCTGCGCTTTTTGAAAATCTTCCGAATATCCTTTGCTTGATCGCCCTTACTGGCATTGGCTTCGGCCGCAGAGCTGGCAAATTCCAGGAAAAACTTCCTACCCTCTTCGAAGCGAGCATCATTCGGTAGGAAGAAGAAATTCTCCTTCCAAATGCCCTGCTTCGAAAGGTATCCACTCTTCTTTTTCTTCTTCTTGGTAGCTTCCTCTTCCGGTACAACTGCGATGGTTTCGACTGCCTTTTCCGGTTTTTCATCCTCATCTTCACTAGCCGATGATTCGTACCTGAATCGAGCGTCGCTATACATTGGTTTGTCTAGAGGCTGCTCCTGATCGTTTTCCTCTTCAGCATTTTCAGCCACCGCAGCTCCAAATGTGGACAACAAACTAAACCCTCCGGAGTTGGTTCCGATCGCATGGGATAAGCCATCGGAAACCTTGAAAAACTTATCTTCCGTAACTTGGAACACCTCTTCCGGACGTTCGGCTCGTTTCGCCTCCAAAATTTCCTCTTCCGTAAGAATCTTCTCCTTCTTCACCGGAACTTCCTTCTTCGCCGAAGGATCGAACCGTTGCATTCCCTTCGCTCCAACGTTGTCCTTCTTGAACTGCTCTCGATCGTAAATGTCCCTTCCGGTCACCTTCGACAGAATCTCCATCTGCTTCTTGCGTTCTTGATTGTTCACGTTGACACCGCTTTTATCCATGGTGGCCTTTTCCCTTTCGTACAACATTCTCTTCTTCCGCCCAGCAGCCGTATCATCGGCAAGGAAACGCTCATCCAACTTAAAACGGGAATCGCCGTGGAACTGAGTTTGCATATCGAACAGTCGCTGACCCTTTTCCGCTGCAAGAAAGCTCATTTAAATCACATGCGAAAAATGCAATTATTCCAGATAGATACTTACTATTCTCCGCAAGTTGCTTCCTAACCGTAAAATTTGCCTTGAATCCATCTTCACCATCTTCATCTCCAAACAGCGATATCTTTGGCTTCTTTCCGGCCTGATCATCATCATCGTCATCAAATACAATTTTCTTCCGCTTAGCACCATCCCCTCCTCCGGCCAAAGCCGCCTGAATAGCCGACTTTTGCTGCTCGTAAGCACTCTGAAGGTTTGTCAATCCTTGCTTCCGCTTTTCGTCGGCCAATTTTGCCTTCTCATCCAACTCCTTGCCCGACTGCTGGTTGCGATTTTTGCTTTTATCGATCACTTCCTTCACCTGCCCGGTGATGGACACAATCTTCAGCTTGCCATGTTCGATGTAGGTTTCCTGGTTCCACTTCCTAACCAGCTGATCTTCATCATCGACCTGAGGTTTTTTAATCGCAACAGCCGACCGCCTCACCGGTGGTGGTGCTGGCGATTCATCTTCCGAGCTCGACTCAGAACTGGAACTTTCCACCTGCTTCGCAATCGTCGGTAGAACTGGTAGTGCCTCAGCGATCTTCTTAACCGGTTCGTGCTCCTGGGCCTTCTTGTACGGATTAAGCGCTTCGCTGTTCTGCTTGGCAGCTTCCGCTTCCTCTCGCTCCCGTTTCAATCGATCCAAAAACGATTCCTTAGCTTTCGATACATTCAAGTAGACACCTTTGTACTGCTCTTGCCGGAACTCGTTGATGCATTGCCACAGGGTACGATCATCCAGCTCGACGTTGACGAAGGCGAACGTGTCCACCGAACCGTTCAGTGCATTCGGTTTGCATTTGAGGTCGATCGCTTTCACCGAACCATAGTTGGAAAATTCCTGCTTCAGCTCTTGCTCACTGGTTCCCGCGGGAACGTTGCCCACGAAAAGGCGATGTATCGGCATTTTAGTTTAATTATGTTTAAACATACAAAAAATCGAAACAAAAACTACTCTAATTCCGATTCCGATATCAAAACGCGAGGCAGGTTTTATGTTTGGCTAGTTTTGTTTACACATGTGCTTCTGACGTTTCATCTTCGTTACACCACCAATTACACCGTCATCCGCAACGACACCCATCTAGTACTACGCAAGGCAAGAATTGACACCACCCCAACCAAGGGGCTCTCAAATACATGTAAAATTTTAGGAACGATTTTTCCGATCAGACATTCCATGATTATCAAAAATGGTGAAAATTTGTTTATAATCACTGCTAAACTTTAACTGAAATTGTTATTGGACTTAACACGAACGTTTGTGTGATAAAGTTTTAAGGTGATTGCCTGTAGCGTCCTTTTTCGTGTTTCGCAATTTCACATGTAAAAATTATAAGGTTTTTGTGAATGCACGTAGCTGAAACTACTACTTGTTGTTTGCAGCGGAGAAGCAAGCAATGTCTGAAATTTGCAGATGTATAAATCTCGTAGATCTTAAGTTGTGTGCTCTTGAAATTGCGAGGTGTGATGGAAAAATGAACTCTACAAGGAAACAACGGTAACGTTCGGAGTTCAAACCCCTTCAAATATTCCAGAAGTCTTAATCTTAAACCACAACAAATTTTCTAAGGAATAAAACCTTAAAATTATCAAAATGCCAGTACATGTTGCAAATAAAAAGTTCGCATATTTCAGGACCCTATCATAATTTTTCTTAGTCTTAAGACAAATAAAATTAAAAAATTAACTATGGGAAAATTCTGACCCTTTTATAAATCTGCAATGTTCGCCCATAATTTGTAAATTAATGAGTGCTCATTGAATAAGAAAGCTTTAAAATCCCTTTTCTAGGGAAATTTTGGAGGAAACACAGCTCTGCGTAAATGGTGGGATGATTCTTAGTAGGTTCTTGAGAAAATTCAAAAGAAATTCTGTGAAGAATACCATGAAAAAATTTCAAGAGTCTCTTAGACTTAGATGTTTAGGATACAGTAACTTTAATGCAGTATTAAGAGAATATTTGTGCTCCATATTTCGAAGAAATTTTTGAATATTTTTTTCGGGAAAACACCAAAGTATTTTAGAGAATCATTCCAATAGAGTTTTGGCTAGTACTCCAGGTCAGATGTAGGAAGTGTTCCAACGTAGTTGTTAGAAGAGGTCCGGGTGAATTAAGGAGAGTTCAGAATTTTATTCTTTGGGTTTTCTGACGAGAATTCCATGACGATTATGAAAAGAGTTTCATCCCAACAAACAATTTGAGTTGATTAACAGCTGAAAAGGCCATTGTTTTTAGCTGAAGAAGCTTATTTTGCCTGTATATGCTCTTATTCAACATTCAATGTTTGTTGGGATGTCCATTGCAAATGAATATTCTAAATATTTTCTGATAAGAATTATTTGAGAGTTCTGATGATGACTGGAGCACTGGAGCAGTAATGAGAGGGAAGGGATTAACCTCAGATCCTTGAGGTAAATATAAAATTGTCTTGTTATACAAAATGCACGTAACTTTTACACTTTTTCAGTTGCACAGAATGGGAAGTATTAAAATGCAGAGAAAGGTGTTTTCATTTAAATTGGGTTGTTTAACTTCGAAAAATATACCGGTTTTTATACATCATATGATAGAGCTTCGTTTTCTCAGCACAACGATATTTTTATCGATCCCGTAGACATTCATCTCGATTTTTAAATCAAGATTTAAATTTTTGATCGTTGACACTAAATCTATCCGTTGATAGCTCGCTCCCATACAAAGTCACACCAAGGGGCGCTTGGATGGTAATTTTTGCTAATGTAATCGTGCTTATTTAATATAGATCCAGTGAACTAAAATTGATGACATTTTGGATTTTGGTTCCATTTTCGTATATGAATATGGATTTATCTCAATACCCCTAAACAACTCAATTGTAGATATTTTTTAATTGTAAATTTTACTATTCAGTTCATTATAAGAAGCACCCCATGGAATGATTTGAGCCGAAGGAAAATCAATTATGAACTTCTGTGCATCTGAGTGCCTTAAAGTATTAAAAACATTAACAAATTTTAATTTAAAGTTTCGACCGACTTCTCTGCAGAGCATGGAAGTCAACTTGTTCCAGATGTTAAATCCAACTACTCCAGGAAGTGTCATCCGACTTCTCCAGATTTGTTTTCCAAATGTCTCCGATTTTTCTGACTTTCTTCAAGAGTTTCATCTTAATACCTCCGAAAGTTTCTTCCGATTTTCTTTTGAAAGATTGAAGTTTTTGTTTAACTTTTTCCGGAAGATTCCTCCAACTTCTTCTGAAAGATTATTTTCTATATTCCCCTAAAACAATCTTAAGGCCACTCCTGGAAATTTTCTAGTTTTCTGGAATGTTTACCTCAACTTTCTTCACCGGAAACGTCTGCCAACTTCTTCTGGAGGTTTCTCGAAACTTTTTCTGAAAGTTTCTTACGAACTGGCACCGGATATTTCTTCCGTCTTGGATATCGGGAGTCTGTGTAACATACCACGGAATTGGTTGGAAATGCTAACATGAAGCTTTAGTGTGATGATTTATTAGCTAGAGAATGATCTTTAGAAGAGGGTAGGTGGATAGTTCCGTTAGAGCACGGCAGTATGAAAATTGAATAGAAGTTGAAAATGAGCGAAGGGCCAGTAATGCGACAGTTTTTTGAAGATAGACGCACATCTTTTGCCTAACCCGTACGATGTACGCGGAGACTTGAAGTATGTCTCTAAGTCTACAGGCAAAAAATGTGCGTCCCTCTTTGCTCATAAACTGACTGCGGCTGTGGAATAGTTCTAGCGACGTTTTCATCACTACCTAAAGCCCCACGTTGCGAGAGCATTTCCAGTTGATGGTGTGTTATAATGCAATTTTTCTTTACCCTAGTGAGATTTGCTGCCGAATTTTGTAATGGACGAATGGCCAATGCCGAAGCCAAAAACGAAAAATTACGCAAACATGATGACAAACAGGAAGCTGCATCAGTAAACATAAACAACAACGGTGAAACGTCATTGAGTGCACGGTGTACGCTATATAAGGTAAGATATTCCGGTAAATGACATTTGCATTGTGACGTCATTCCTATCCTTTGAGAGCCTAGGAGAGCCTTTTGCAGAACAAAATGAAGTGATTTTCTGTGTCTGCAATGTATTTACACTGATCCGGAGATGAACCAGCCTGCGGCTGAAAATCTCCTAAATAGAGATAATAATAATAATAATGTATTTACACTGTACAATTTGAGTTATTCCCCTGCAAACTATTGAAAGATAGCAATGACGTCATTAGTCGACATTCAAACTTGATGTTTACAACCGAGAGTATATTACCATAGAGGTACCCTAATAAAAAATTACCATAAACGAACGATAACCCAAATGATTGAACTATTCCACAAATGGTTTGGATGATACCCCGAACACGTCGTTAAGCAAATTAACCATAACATTTTTATTAGGGTAACTCTAAGACCACTGGGTCCCGAAGAAAATCATTATTATTTTTGGCTCACTCAGTACCAGAACAACGGTCCCAAGCAGTCCCAAGCTATTTCACTCACCCCTGCATGTTCTGCATGAATCCACACACCCCTGATGTTATCTGTCAAACTTTCATAGCGAATCAAAACAAACATAGTGTAGTAATAGAATTTCAACTAGAATAGGGTACGTTAATCGTTTGCTTGGGACCAATAGGCTACTAAAGTGGTGAGCCAATTTAAAATCGTTAGTTTCGTATTGATTGTTGATATTACCTTGTTTATGTATACCATGGTTGAGTGTATTCGTTATAGCTACACTGTTAAAATTGTTCACTTTGTAGTTTTCCGTTTGACAGTTAATATAATTAATATTTATATTAAAAACTATAATAATTACTAATTTGAGCAATTTTTACACCAAATATTACTTCAGATCAAGTTGTACTTCCCCTAGGGGAAATGGCTCTAATGCATGGATATAAGATTGGGCCCATCGCTAAAAATCTGCTATTGATCAATTTTATCGAGATGAGCCCGTCATTGGGACGATACTTAGTGATGCCAACAATCAATACGAAACTAACGATTTTAAATTGGCTCACCACTTTAGTAGCCTATTGGTCCCAAGCAAACGATTAACGTACCCTATTCTAGTCGAAATTCTAGTACTACACTATGTTTGTTTTGATTCGCTATGAAAGTTTGACAGATAACATCAGGGGTGTGTGGATTCATGCAGAACATGCAGGGGTGAGTGAAATAGCTTGGGACTGCTTGGGACCGTTGTTCTGGTACTGAGTGAGCCAAAAATAATAATGATTTTCTTCGGGACCCAGTGGTCTTAGAGTTACCTCTATGGATCTATTGTGATATATTCCCCGTTTTAATATTGCTTTATCAGCATGTCGTAACGTAACACCATTTTATGAAGCGATCGACATAGACTGACCGAAAGCATTTTCCCAGTCAGGTATTACATTTCGAATGAATTGCACTACTTGGCTGGGAACTGAATTCCAAATATCAAAGGGTTCTGTCAGGCCCTTATCAAGAAAAATACGCCACATATTGAAGATTGCTGTACAAGAGCATAGCAGGTGTTCAGAGTCTTCTTTTTATATGCCACATAATCGACACATGTCATCTTTAAGTTTTCCTATTAGCTTCAAGTGATATATACATGGACAGTGCTCTGTTATTAAATCAGTGTACATACTGAGATCTTTCTTTGATAGTTCAAGAATTTTGCTAGTCATTGAAATGCTCGGATTAATAAACCGTTTCGACGGCCTAGCAATGAGAGTGTTGTTCCAATTGGTCTCCATTTTCATTTTTTTTTTCCCATTTCTTGAACTCCATTCTAAGAGAGCAAGCAGAAACTCCACAGAATGGTTCTGGTCCTATAAATTGTTGTGATGATCCAAACCTAGCTAGTGTGTCGGCTTTCTCATTCCCTTGAATTCCACAGTGACCAGGAACCCAAAATAGGTTCACTTGGTTTTGGCAGGCCAATTTTTGGAGTGACATTGCTTGGCTAT